ATAAACTAATCCTAAACGGTGAGTGGTAAATTGGCGTTTTTAGTTGGTTTTGCGGATTAGATATTTTTCTTATTTTTATTTATGTTTCCTTCTGAAAAGACCTTTCTCCCTATATTGTGTCGAATGGATGCCACCGTAGGACAAGCACTGCCGTTTGTGTTGTCTTAGGCTTCAGGTGTCCTAGTTTCATGGTTTCGCCGTTGTGACACTTGTCAGTTCTGATTTGTTGATGTAGGGGTATGATCGAACTTGTACAAAAGGTCAGGCACGATTCATCATCTATAGCACTAGTAATGTGACATCGTCCTATAGTCTGATCTGACCCCGAAGTGGCGAGGGAGGCTTTTTCGGATCCCCATTTATCATTTCTCCCCCGCCCCTCCTTATTCTTGAGGTTTAGGTAGATTGGTAATAGGTGGTAGTATAAAGATTGCAAAGCTTTGCGTTGTTAGTGCGTTTTTATTCTTTTCTGAATTTCAAAACCAGATGCGCGTTCTTTAGTAACACGGCGCGTGTTCTGTGAGGTAACTTTGCTTGATATCGTATGTCACGTGGATGAGAAGAATGCAGCAAGGTCATGTAAACTCAGAGTACATTTCGTGAAAGTGTTCGTAATTTGGAACGCTTTAGTGCAAAAGGTCAAGTGTAAACAGTTGAAGCGGTCATATGCAAAAAGTTGAACAGGTTATTTTGCATCGAAAATCTGTCCCATGGCTATCGGGTTGTCTGGTGCTATACGCTCAGAAAGAAGGCCAGAGGTAATCCAGGGTGGAGCGAGCTAAAAAAATGTTTCCAACTTTTTGTGAAAGCTCTGAGAAAAAGTCCGGTATAGATGAGAAGTTGCTGTGATTGGTGGCGTGCCGGGAGAATACAGCGGGGTCATCTACGTGCATTACGGACTTGCTGTCTCTGACGCGGCGCGGGAGAGCTACATTACTCTAGCCAGAAACCTCGATCACCTTTTTTTTTAAATGTCTACTCAAGAAATTGCTTGGAGTACCGTGCAAATTTCAAGAGTGATGTAATTTCTTGAAATGAATAATTCATTGTAAAAATTTGAGCCTGAGTTCTAGAGAGTGCATTATAATCAGCAAATAGTTTCGTCCGAGCTTCAAGGACAAAAATCTAAGTAGCAGGTGTAAAAAGGCGTATCAATTGCCCAATTTTGATCTTTCACATTATGATTACAACGATGCTTTGCAAACCAGACGTTTTTGCAAACTGCGTGCGTTTGTTCCAGACCGTTGTTTGCACATTTTCGCCACGTAACATTTTAACAACTGCCGGTTTTCGCCGCTACTGATAAGATTATCGCAGTGTGCCTTTTGTTTTTCACCACTCGAAGTGTGCGCTTTTGTAAAGTGAAAAGTAACAGTGTGCAAACTCTGGCTGTGCGTACAGGGAATGAATAATATATAATCAATAACCATTGGCAAATTGGATTTGAATTGGTCGTTGTCAGTCATATTGGTAGTACCGAAGTCAATAAAGTCAACATTTCGATGCTCCAAGAATTTACTGCATAAGCTCAAAAGCTCAAGCCTTTTCTATACAGTTCACTTTATACTGAGGCTTCGATTCCCTACGCGTACTTAGATACTGAACTGCTTGCTTGAAATCAAAAGAATCAGTCGAAAAATTGGACTACGTTTTTTGTGGTGAAAAATAGAATGCTATTTACTCACACAAAAAGCTCCATTCTCCCGTATATTCCATGACCATGAACTCTTAATTTTTTTTTCTTTCAAATTGCGATAGGTTAAATTGCGGAGTCTATCGTAAATGTTTCACATTCACGAAGATGTGCATTTGTATATTTTGCTTTCTTCATTTTTTTTTGCGAATCGTACCTTTATAGGCTATCCACGTACAATGGGTCAAGTGAGGATGATTGAAGAAGTAGCGCCGCTGGATTTGGTTGTCGAATTGAGGGTAAGTGTTCTCTTCGACTTGCTAATCTTCTTCATTTACTTCAACCTTTCGTTTTTTTATAAAAAAATTTGCTCACCTTTTGTTTAATTTGTATATTTATCATACCTACGTTTTCTCACCATTTCTTCTCTTTCCTCTGTCCTCTTATGCATGCCATATAGTTAATATTCGTAGGTGCCGAAGAAGGTTCTTATCGATCGGCTATCCAAACAACTAGTACATCATGGATCAGGAAGGACTTACAACCTGGACTTCAACCCTCCGAAAGTTGAGGTGAATCGAATTACAAATTTAAACGCCCTTATTACTTATTATGTCAGTTATGACTGTGCTGTATCATAATCTGAGCTTGTCATGATGAGGTTATAGGGGAAAGACGACATAACGGGCGAACCGTTGTTCAAGAGAGAGGATGATGCCGCAGAAGTCGTGGGACGAAGACTGGAAGTGCATGAGAAGACAGAAAGTAAAGTAGTCGATTACTATAGGTGAGGCTTAGGCGTTTCAAAGATTGGTCTCAAAGATGGATTGTGGTGGAGGCAGATGTTTTCTTTTTCGGTTTCGAATGAGTTTTTAATATTTAGAAACCATGGAATTTGTGTGACGATGTCTGGTGATAAGTCGCCGGTAGTTTTCCAAGCTGTTTCGGAAATGATGAACGATTTGCTGAAGAAGCGAGCGTTTGGATAAATAAAGCACTCACAGTTACAATGTTCTATGCTCAGCCATAAGGCTACTAGTTAGTCCAGGTCGTGTCGTTGTTGTACAGGTTAGGTCTAATCATCAGTCACTCAGACTTTTCCATAGATAATCATTTCGACTGCCCTGGATCCTAACCTGGTTTCTCATTCATCGTTGCTTTCGTGTGAGGTTGATGTGCAAATTTCTCGAAGTCATTTTACATTTGAATCTTATTTCTCGTTTTGTTTGACCATTTTCATTATCGAAGTCCTCGTAGAGGTGTTGTTTATCATTCTTCGCAGATTTAGCCCCTCTGACATGTATATGATCTATTCTTGCTTTGTTTGTGTTTCGGCGAAAGCCGACAGTTTAATGACTACTGAGTGATGTATGGGTATCTCTGTAATCATTTATTCCACGTGCTTTGTGAATAGTAAAACTTACTGAATCTCAAGGTCTTGAACTTGTTAAGGGTGTTTGGTGCCCTTAAGTGGTAATACTGGTGTTCACATTCTACGAACTGTGAGGTCATGAATGCCAAAGCAAGTGTTCGCTTCACAAATCGGATATTAGGATTCCTCAAGAGAGAGGATCTAGAAAGGTGTTTCGTCATGTGTTCAGTTGTTGGCTTTCGATACGATCATACTGCTAAATTATTGTTAAGTTTTTTGGGTCATTCTGAAGACCAGGTCGCCGTTATGAAGCCTTCAAGGTCTTTGGACTTACGTTACTCGCGCGTTGCGCTTATTTTTTCCCTCTTTTTGATGTATTAAGAAGTGGGTGCGACTATATGTTTACAAAGTTAGTGTCCGGTTCGAGCACATGAATTGCGAGACAGATTTTTAGCGTGATCCACCTTTAACCACTGGGGACATGTGCGCTCGACGCGGGACGCACTGTTTCTGCCACGACGGGGAAAAAATTTTTTTTATTGGTGCTCGAGTGAGGGAACGCAAGACATTGAAGATAAACTCTTCTCCGCAGGATTTCCAGAAGTGTTCCTATAGCATACTAATCAGGAAGGCGTTGTCATACTTACGGTATTAATGGTCAGTGCATATCTTCCTTAGTTGATGTTTTACACGAGGGGTACTTGAAAGTGATTTTCCAAGGCAAAGCTTGTTATTTTTGAATGCATCCGGCTGGCTTTTCGCCTGGAGTCAGCTAGAGTAATGCTACAACATTTCACAAAGAGAGATCTGGATCCGACCCATTTTACGGGTTTTAAAGTGGAGATTTGAAGTTTTTCTGGCATGCTCCAATATACACCCTCGGCAAAACCTAAAGATTTACGCTCATTTTGGAAGCGGTCTGCAATCATACGAAACTTGCAAAGTTCTAACAGTTCATGCTTCAAGATTCAACATTTTTGGTGCAGGTGGATAGCCGCATTATGACACATTTTCAAAATGTCAAAAAGGCAGCGGGACCGACGCAGGTCAGACTAATCGCGAGAAAATTCGCATTAGTCGCAATGGGTTAAGGAAATACGACCTAGATTCCATGGAAAATACCTAATTGTGCAACTGGAGTATCCTTTTGCACCATTCTCGCATGGTACTTTCTTTGTTGACGGTTCTGTGTCAAATCGTGTCTGTACCGTCTACGTTCGAGCTCAACCGCATAGCCTTTCCCTTTCTTGAAGCCTCAAATCGCATGATATTCTGTGAGCGTTCCTCCGTGGTGGAGGAATGCACGGGTTTCTAAGCACAGGAGTTCATGGCTGTTGCCACGGCTCAAATAATGTTGAGGACAGCGGTAAGGCCGCTTCAGAGTCTGCGCGATTGGAGGGGAATGCGGAGTTTGCATCGTTATGCACAGATTGGGAAATGATGTGGCTCTTCCTGTTGGCGGACAAGAGGTACACGCCGTACAGGAAGCTGGATGTGTAGTTGAGTGGGGTTGGTGAGATTAACATTATTTTTGGTAAACTTCGTTTTATTTTGGGTTCGCCTCTCTAGTCGAAGACTCAGCACGGCATTAGACCAGAGCCATTGACGATGTGGGCTCAAGCATGTTTTACTTGTGCAACATAGACGCTGTTGCACCCTCTCAAACAGGCGGTGGCTTTCTCGCTTAGTCTCTCACGCCGCGCTGTTCTCGTTGTCCACAGGACAGGTGACACGCAAGAAAGAAATGTTTTTGAGCTGCTGTGTTTACTCTATTGTTCGTTGTCGACACTTTAATCTTCACTGTGGTCCCCTCTTCGTTCCCCATTGTTTTCATTCCGAAGCGAAATCACACAAATATTCGATTGCTTCCGTGTGTCCATTAGATTTGTTCTGTTGACCTTTCGAACACCATTGAAAACGCAAGTTACCTTTCTTATTGACGGTGCTGTAATGTCAAATAGTTATCTCTTTCCCAGAAGCTTGAGCAGCAACTTATTCGGAATTGGCGAAGCAGCACTGGCTAAAAAAGTTGCTTGTACGTTATGGGAACACGGTGAGACGAGTGTCGAGGACACCCTCTTTAACGTATCTGTACTGGCAATGTCAATTAATGCACATAATGATTCGAATGGAAATGAGTGCTGCGATCGTAAAGGAGGAATTCACGAGAACGAAGGTCAAAGAAGGGGAAAATTGCATAGTTGGGAGACAGGCGGACCTCCTGAGGGTGCTGACCGACGCGCAATTGGCAGCGAAAGATTTGACCTCGGCGATCTAGCATGGCTCACTCTTGGCGCGGTTGGCGGGGTACGCCCACCGACTATCTAATCACTCGCCGCAGGTCTATACGTGGCGAGTGATTAGATAGCAGAGAGAGCGTAGTGTTGAAGAGGGCACAGCGATGAGAGTCGCATCAATGCGCAAATCAACGGGCAAGGAAGGGGTCCCATTTCTCGGGTTTCGGGCCGTTTCAAATGGTTTCTTCTTCATCCCTGCTCCACTGACCACCTCTACCCTTATTTCCAATGAGCTACCTTTTCATCGTGAATTCTGCCTTTAAAGCGAGTGAATGGCCGAAAGCTTCCTCCTTGTTATCCTTTATGGTATTGGAGATGGGGATCCGTTCTGCGCTGTTCACCACGGTCACCACAATAGCGGAGGGCCATATAGGTTGCCGAATTGCAATAAAAGATCGAATTAGGATCAAGAAATACGACTGCTCAGGAGGCTGTCGAATGGTTCTATGGCTGAAAATAATGGAGCTGGAAGTGCGTAGAGGGAGAGATCGGCTGTAAAACTTCTTCGGAAAGCCTTGGCGGACACAGTACGATGACGTGAAGGTGACAATTATGGGCCTGAGATATCACAAGGTGAGACGGGTTGCCCTCGATTTGGTTAATTGATTCTTTCATCGTTAAGAAGCTCCATGTAGTGCTGTAAGATGTTTCTGGGACGAATTGGGAAGGTTTGATACCAGTTCAATCCACCCTGCAATCTGAGTAAAAGTCAAGTGCGTGGCGCATTTCAGAAAGCTGAATTGATAAAGCATTTAAGTGGTTTGACTATGAGAAAAACAATTACTGAAGGATTTGGGAATGTCTTTGTCTGGTCACAACACTTCAAGGGAGAAACTGCCTTAGCCAGTAGTGATCCATCCCAAGCACTTTCATATGTCAGAAAGCGGCATCTAGTTTAGCTGACAGGTGTAAGAGTATTAAATGCGGTCTCCTGTGAGTCATTGATCAGATCAGGTTTCGTTGAGCGCCGAACTCAGCCATATAAGCGCCGCGGCGCCATCCCACAGAGAACGCCACCCGACGTGATCTTCTCTCTATTCACCATCAATTCACTTGCCTACCCCTATTCTCGAAATGAAACTCATGTCTGATATGCCTAAGCCGGAATGGTCTATGGAAAAGGAGACTGAGAAAACCAACGTTGAGCAGAGCACCTTCTGAAGACAGTGTGTCAGCAGTTTTCTCCAAGCAAGAACCAACTCTTGGCGCCAAGATCGCCAACGTCGCCAAAGGCGCTGCGACTACTGTCTGGGAAAAGTGAGTTTAGCGTAATTATATCGTCATCAAAGTTCCTGTTTTATCAGTGACAGCTTCACCTTAAATTAAATGCGAAAAATTTCCGTGGGACTGACAAATCCATGAGCGTCGGCGATTTTCTCTCCTCCTGGGTGGCATGTGGTGCGACAGTTTGTTTCCCTTGAAGTAATTCAGTCGCAAGGAGAGGAAACTTTAGGTGTGGGTAAAATTACAGCCATCTGGGGTGCGCCATGCATCGTCTTCTGTTCGTGATTGATTGGATGATTGATTGTTTACCATGGTCGTTGAATTCTTTGCGGAGCTATTCGAAAGATAACTCAGTTCATCCCTAAGCAGAGGTATCACGAATTGATGACCCTTCTACTGAGGTGAACAATTGCGATCAGCTTGAGATCGCAGGCCTGCTCGTTTGCCTGAACCTGTATCTGCGGTAGCGAATGGCTATGCCATTGTCGCTATACCGCAACACTACTTATTCCACATTTGTGCATGCGAAGTGAACCACCCATTTAGCCCTCCCCTTTCACTTTAGAAAGGAGTAAAAGCTCGCAAACGGGATACTGAATTTCGTTATTGCTTCTTTTAGACCTCATTTGCTGGAAGACAGCCCCGTTAAATCCGCGTTAGTTTTTCAGAGACTCGCTAGTTAAGACTAAACGTACACCTTCCGAGAGAACGCAGATCTCCGGGTGCCTAAGCCAATTATCTTCACCCGATGTTTAGGGAGTGTTTTGGAGTTCATCCCTCAGTGGCTTAGTCCTCAGGGTTTCTTTACCGACACCAACCCCTCTCCCCGAGTTGCGCCTCTCTTATCGAAGACACAACACAGTTCGGATAACCACTTCCAAATGACTTATCTTCCGCGAGTGGCATTGTTAGGGGCCGGGGGGGGGGGGGGGGGGGCGGGGGGGGGGGGGGCGGGGGGGGGGGGTAAAAGAAAGGGAAAATCGAAGCGAGAAGATGAATACATATCGAAATCAACGAAATATGAAAACTAGAAAAATAAAGCATACAGAGAGGAAATAAACCCCTAACTGACTCAAATTGATGCCATCTTTTTGAGAACACTTAGCGATAACTTGAAGTGAATTGCTGCAGAAACTCAGTAAACATTCCAGCAGCCACCAAATACATTTTCGATTAATATTGATATCCTGTGCACGGCGCATTCCAGGACATTCACAAAAGTCACTCCATGTGTTGTGAATAATTATAATTTTATGATTATCATTTTTAGGAAGAAGGAGACGTGCGTATTGCTACCGCATAATACGCCATGCCTGTCAAATAAGTGCGTGCTGAGTAAATTGCCCGGTCTTCGACAACTCAAGGATAAATTCCAGCCAGAAAAGAAGCCTGAAGCCTAAGCACTTGCAGTTGATCACCTGGCTTTACTCTGTCTCTTGTGTATCTGTAAATAAGTGTTTTTACGATTTGAAAAATAAAAGTAACCATTTATCGTTCTGTAATGTTCTTCAAGGTCTTCATAGACCTCGTTGTTTCGGTGAAGTCACTTGTTTACGTGTGATCCGAAGAATAGTTGATAAACAAGTCCTTTATTAGTAGGAAAGCGTCGCTTCGACGATCGCGGCAAATCTCTTATAAGATCCAGTCGGTCAAGCAGAGCCGGTTAGCGTCGTGGATTCCACTCGAAAATGTCCCGTTTCCTGAAAAGCGATCAAAGGACGTGGGCTGAAACTTGCTAAAAGAGTGTAATTGCGGGTACGATTTTGTAATTAGAGATCCTGTATCTGAAGGCATCGCCCACAGAAGATGTTGGGTTGTCCAGAAACTCCTACGACACTTTGAACGAGATTTTTAATTGGACACATCTTGAACGGGACATCCAGGTAACAATATTGCCACCATTACCATCTGTTGGTGTGCATTTTTTCCGTGCAGCTACTCAAGTCTCTTTCTCTAGAATTTCGGTGATTGCTAAAAAACGCGAACAATTTCATTTGCACATCTGAACAATCTCATGATGTAGATCATCGGTTTTCTATTTATTTAACGCTTTTTCTTCAACGCTTTTTCCTCTTCCACTCTTTCA